TTAACCGGTTGGGATTTGTAGCGGAGACGTAACGTGTTTCCTGTGAGGTACGGGCTGAATATATATTACTTAGACGAACTTCGCGTTATCTCAAAGGAGGGCAGTTTCACGACACAGCTAGAGTCGAGAGACAGACAAATATGGACATTGGACCCACTGAGACAGGAACGAGAAATTTACATGAAGTAAAAGTAAAGTAAAGCTATCCCTGTACCAGGCCATGAAGGCCCATAGGGTTGTGAGACGTTGAGGGTCCCACATTTTCTAGACAATCGGCTCAAATATGGCGGTAAGGTTGTCAGCCTCACGCGCCAGCTGCTCTTTACTCCCCAGGAAAATTATTTAATTAATTTCTGGTACTCATTTCTGTTAGAGGCTGACTCGACCCCAGGGCCACAGTGCGGCTGGAAGGTATTAGGCCAATTGAAAGAAATCCAATTACCTCATCGGGACTTGAATCCGCGACCTTCCGGCTTGTAGCACAGTGCCTCAACCAACTACGCTACCGCGTGCCCCGAAATTTACATGAAACAGAAGTTACCTTAAATATGCTACTTGAATGGATTGAACAGTGAACGCTTACACGCAGAGTGACGTCTGAATTGACTACATTCGCGAAATCATGAGACGTGTGGCCATGCAAATGTAGGCGTCCGACGGTACCACACACAGGACAATGTGACACAAATATTCCGCCTATCAGCTCCGACCCCCAGCTAAGCTCCTAATTACATACATCTGCCCCACAGCCTTCTGGGAGCGCATCTGTGTATAGATATGTGCGGACATCAGACCGGCCGCTGGTGAGGTCCGTCGTCAGTCAGCATTTCGGGGGGATCAGTCCCCTCGGGCAACATCAATGGCCACTCCATCGGCAGACCGGGGTAGCGGGAGGGCGTCGAAATGAACAGACTTCAGCCACGGAAGAGAGAACAGCGTCAAAACGAGGGTTACATCTCTGGAATACAACGTCCCTCAGTCCTCAGGAACATGTCACCTCCATCTTCAGGGTTCAGTCAAGAGATAAGCCAGCATAGATCTGCAAGGCGTTATATCACAAAAGTCTTCAGAACAACCGCTGTGGGAACCTCAGATTCTGTGCAACGAAAAACTGCTAGAAATACTAGTACGCTACGTCTGTCATGACCGTTTCCCTCCATAGGCAAGCTCTTGGTTTCCCCGTGCATTCGGAAGTTATTTTGAAAAATCTGAACTTTTGTGGAATTTTTTTGCTTCATAATCAGCCCAAGTAAACAGTGCCTTGTAGCAGTTTCAGGGAAGCCTCCCGGGTCTGGTCATGTGGGATTTGTGGTGGACAAAGTGGCGCTGGGACAGGTTTCTCCTCCCAATCTTCATTCCACCAATTGCTCCACGATCATCATCATCTGGGGCTAGTAAAGTAGGCCAGAGATGGCCGCAGTAGCAAGTGGACTCAGTCTCATCCCACCAATAAAAATAATAACAACAGGGGAGCCTCGGAGAGCCTCTACACCCATTTTCCTGCCTGACTGCTGGCTAGAAGTCAGTATATGCAAACCGGAAGCCCTGCGACTGGCAATCTCGACACAGGATCTCGTGGTTTTCCTCTGTCTTCAAGCGAATGCTGAGATGGTTTCCAAGTTCCGAGCTGCTACTGTCAGCTTCTCATGCAGCCCTTCTGACTTATTATTACGAGTATTATTAAACCGCTCTGCTGTAAAGGCCACCAAATTACGTTCCGCAGTCATAACAGAGCATCAAAATTCCACCGCACTTTTCCATAATGGTAAAAAAAAAGTTACTATCTTAACGTGATCCAACGGTTCGTTCACGAACACCCAGGCTAGTGAGCACTGCTCAGACCCTGGATAGCCCCCATATCACTTCTAGTGTATTAGCAAAATCTGAAGCCAAAACGTATGTAAATACAGTCTAGAATTTCGGTTCGTGCCTCTACGAAAACACACCGTATCATTACAAATACAGGACTTTTATCAACTTTTAGTTGTTTATTTAGAAACCGCACATATAATCCGTGCGCCCTCCTCAGGGCAGCTGGACGCTGAAGTGCACGGTATCTATAGTTACCACTGCCCTGTAAATAACTGGTTAGGATCCGAAGGTACATTCATGCATACGTTTAGCGAAGCAAAGCAGTTGCCAAAATTGTTTGTTTAGGTGAGGCAATTATGCTGGAAATCAATACTGAAGCCAAGAGTTAATATTGGTTGCATTTTCGTGGTGTTTAAATTTCGCTTTTGTGCGTGATGCTTACGCATACGTCACACACATCCCGTGAATATATTTATGTCATAAAATATATCATAGTTATATCATAAGAACTTGACTTTTTCCTGCTTTACAAGAGACATCTTGCCCGATGCCCTCCCAATATACAAAGTACTGACCGGTGCTGACTGCCCCAGTAACTCGCTGGGCACACGGCCCACAGCGCAACACTCGCTCCGTCATGGACACCTCAGTCCCTGCTTCTGGATACTCAGAGAGGCTTTTAACTCATTTAAACTGGTTTTAACCAATTATTCCTTATGTACAGAACTCATTTTAACCGTATTAAATATTCAGTCTTGATTTCTGTCCCTTTATGGAGCTACAGAGGCAAGCGATGTGACATCAGCCCCATGAAGATGGCCACAGCACGCAAGCATATTATGACTGTACCCTTGCCAATATGTATGGTGGCCCTGCTGTTAAAGCGATCTACAAGTGCTTCGGTAGAGTCTGGGGTGCAATTTGAATCCTCGTCATAAGCTTCCGTTAGTTTACACGGTCTGTCTGTTTGTCTGTCCATCCTTGTTGCGCCGTCCCACTTGGAGCATAGGGCATCCGTGAAATGCTTGTTTCGCTTCCGTTTTAGGCAGTCGGTAGGGTTCCTTGGGCGGGGGATCAGCCAGTCGCAAGGCCGCTACCTAACACAAACACAGAATAAATAGACATCCATGCGTTGAGTGGATTCGAACCCACGATTCCAGTGAACGAACGAGGGAGACCGCGCGGCCACTGTGATCTGCAGTTACAGGAGCAGACTTCGAGTGTTACTGCTGCTGTGTTGTGATACTGACAGGGGAGGCCCTGTCCCGGGCGTCGAACGGGTACAGCCACAGGAAAGTAATAATTAAGTGATGTTGTCTATTTGGGCCCTACCTGCCAGATACACAGCCCAGAGGCCAATCTCAGAGCGTGTATAGCCACGCCTATACACAAATTCCCCGAAGCCAGTTCGTCACGACGCCCAGATTTCTCAAAATGGTGCCGATATTTTCCTTCATACTCCGCTACTCACTTTCATTGTTTTCTTTTCCGTCATTTCGTTTCCATTTTTATCATCTTCTGCCCTACCCCCATTATTATTTTCCAGTGTCTTTATTTGTCTGTCCTGTTGTTATCCCTCTACCCCATTCCTTCCACCCTCTCCTTGGCATTAACACATCCCTCCCCACGCTCTTCCGCTCAGCTAACCCTCTCGACTGCTTATCTCGTTACAATTTCTGTCCAGTCTGCATTAATTGCACATTTGAGCGTCATCCCAGTTGAAGCAGAAGTTTGTGTACGTCGGCCCGTATCCTAGCAACGGTTCGTTCCCGTTTCCATCACGCACATGCAGCTGTTTCAATTGCCGTATTGTTACTACAGCGAATGAGTTTGTCACCCTGAAACACTTTGCTTTTATTTTCACCTAGTTTTATTTTTATTATTATTTATAGCTTGCCGACAAACTGTCCGTTGCGAGGACCACGAGGACGCTGTCTGCGGGTTGCGTGCACCGGTGGGGTCGAGGCCCACAGCCAACTCACCATTGTGTTTTCGGAAGGCACGGAAAATCCGTACTAACCGAACACGCTCGAGCGGTCTCGGAGTTTGATCTGGGGACCGCCATAATGAGAATATGACGTGCTAGTTCCCGACCGCCTCTATCAATCACTGGATAATGCCCAGACGCATGATAAACGAGGTACTGTGGGGACATAATTCCTGTAATCAACACTGAAACCGACTGGGCCTCGCTGATCTTTCCTTGTCACATGTGAAACCGCAACCACTCAAATACACAGAACAATAATATTGCCTGCTGTTCTGTATGGGTGTGAAACTTGGACACTCACATCAGGGGACGTTCTTAGAGTGAGGCTGATTGAGAACATATGAATCAAAGTGAGAGAGGTAGAGTGGTTAGAGAAAAATGCATAATGAGGAGCTTCATAACTTACATTCTTCACCAGATACGAAGATCATCATATCAAGGAGGGAAATTTGTCCGAGGTATGTAACCGGCAGGAGGTAAAGTCAGAATTTTGGTAGGAAAACGTAAAAGGGAAAGGTATAGGCGTAGGTGGGAAGATAATATTAAAAGTATGCCGGTTAGGACTGTTCGATTGGGTTTCAAATAAAGCCGGGAATTTACCGATCTCTGTTGGCACGCGGAGCATGGAGCAGTCTACCTCAGGCTTCAGAGCGCCGGCAGTGACCGCTGCCTCTGCGGGTCGAGTTACCCTGTCAGACGGCGCGCCATGTTGAGGCCTGACAGCTCACGTAACACGGACACGGGTACAGGTAACCGCGGACCTGACCGATAATACCCAAATATATTATGAAATTTACTCTGTACTCTTACCAATATGTACGGTAGCAACGGCTGTGAACTTTAATTTCCTAATTGCACTGAACTCTGTAATATAAACGGCGAGGAAAGTGAACATGTGCCGGACCCCTTGCGGACTGGCTAACGGTAATCTTTATTCAAGAAGCACGTGCTATCCTGAGAGGGCTTCGTCGTTTTCCTCAGGCCTTCTCGGAAAATACTGCGATAGTACCTCAATTTAGGCCACGACCGCTTCCTTCTAAATCCTTTCCGATGCACCAATCACCTATCATCACAACACGTGACGTGGCTAGCCAGGAAACTGCGGGATAGCTCACGAATCCACGTGACTGCACATTCGGCACGCCCTTGAACGCAGCTCCCTCCGTCTTTACAGTGCGGTACGTGTGGTGGTACTTACAGTGGTGGTGGTGCTGGTGGTGCTGGTGCGATGGTGCTGCACGCGAGCTGCGGAAGCCACAGCTGGTGACGAGGCTGTACTTGCCACTCTGGTTTCTGGAGGGCCCCCTCCGTTCTTGACGCTGATCTCCAAGTAACTGTGCGTCTCCAGGTGCGACTGGGCCCTGCGCTCCTCTAACACGATCCTGCGGGCCGCCCTGAATATCTTGTAGTACACAATGATCATCACAGTCAGAGGGATATAGAAGGAGCCCAGCGTGGCGTAGATCTGGTAACCAAAGTTCTGACACACGATGCACTGCTGCGAGGTGCCTGTCTCGGTCTGCCCGTGCTCGTTGCCCAGGATGAGGAGAGGCGGCAGGCTGATGCAGGCGGCGCCCAGCCACACAAGTGACACACAGGCGATCATCCGACGAGGCGTCCTCTTGACGCCGTATTCCAGCGGCTTCGTAATGGCGTAGTACCGGTCGACGCTGATCATGCAGAGGTTGAGGATAGACGCCGTGCAGGACAACACATCAAATGAGACCCAGAGGTCACAGACCACGGGGCCGAAGCTCCAGCGGCCCAGGATCTCGTACAGGAGAGCCATGGGCATAACGAGAAGCGCGACGCAGAGGTCCGACACGGCGAGCGAGACCAGCAAGTAGTTGCAGGGTCTCCGCAACTTGCGCACCAGACACACCGCCACGCACACCAAGATGTTCCCCACGACGGTGCCTATAGTGACGCACAGCAAGACGAGCGCGATGATAACGGCCTCCACGGGGCTGTAGTGAGAGTCGGGGCCGGGGAACCATGGGGCGGGCGGCGGGGTTGAGGATGGCCGGAGCCCGGAGAAGACAGTGGTAATTGTCGTTGCTATGGTAACGTTACTGCCCTCCATACGTCGTCGGTGCTGGCCTAACTGCTATGATTCACTGCCTTCCGCGCTTTCACGGCGCGTCTGATACTTATCACGTCAGTCTAAATTATATTGCACTGCCAGATGATTGATTGGATGAGTGATCGATAGGTCGCAGTGAAGTCTGCGTTCCCTTGACTTTACTGGGCACACCAGCAGCGAATGTTGAGGTAGAATGTGGACACGGACTGCGGCCGAGCATGCTCTGGGCCTCTCGTGACAGCAACAATGTGGACCCATTGTTTAACGTCGGTGGGCCCTACTCCACGGCTGTTTCGTCTCATTCAGAAGGGATTCGTGCCCCTGACTTGCACGACACGGGTACACGCTCTGGAACGTTATGCGGCGCACTTTTCACACAGAAACACTCCATCTTCCCAGAGTCCCAGTGGAGAGGACAGGTGCCGTCTCAGTGTTGCAACGATTCCCGCTTACAAATGCACAGCTGCTGAGCAGTCTCTTGCAAGCGTTTTGTTTCTTCGTATAGGAAATTATGGAACAAAAAAAAAACACTTTTAAAGGTACTCAATTTCTTTGGCTTATAGGAACCTCGTAATGACGGTCGGAATTTTGCTTTGTTTTCACGTTCTATTCCTCTTTTCCTCGATGTAATCCTCGCTGTCACTCCCGTTTACACTTATCAGACTTATTTACAGAAGACACCAACCGACAAAAGCGTGCGTGATCAGCATGTACATACAGAAATTAAAATAATTGCAAACGTGAGGAACAATTCAATTCCTTTAAATTCCTTCTGTCAGACCTAGAAAACGGAATATTATATATTACAGATTAATTCTATGTGATTATCCGAAGATAACTTGCACTCAACGATAGCGTGTGCAGATAGGTTCGGTATCCTATCACAGATGAATTATCTCATTTGTCAATGGCACTGATAACTACGGGAATATCTCGGAGATAATTCTGTCGACAGTCACAAATGCTAATGAGCGCCTGTGCTGAGGCGTCGAACAGGAAGCGTCGGTTCCAACGCCCTCACGACCCCAGCATACGAGAACCGGGGTGGCTAATCGTGACGTAATTTGAAATCAGAGGCTCGTTTTCACTAATCTGTGACGAGAGAGATGTGTTTGCGTTTGAGATAACATCTTTTGAGTTAATTAAGGAAGTAGCAGTTGTTTTTGTTCCATTCCCAAGTCACTAGGGGCGCTGGGTACAACATCCATTGTTGTGTTAATAACTCGTGATGTGATTCAGTTAATGTACTTCAGATGGCGTTGCACTGGCGTCTAGTCCTGTTGTCAACGAATTTTATCCGCGTGTCCACGCGATGTTTATACACTCCCATTGCTGCCCGATATAGTTTGAAAGTAATCACTGTGCTTTGTCTCCAAGTAGGCAACTAGATCCACTTCGACTCAACACTTCACAACACTTCATCACTGAACAGGTATTGTTATTAACAACACTATCCAACGCAATTTCTTGTGTCAGCGCCGCACAAACAAAATTCGCGACCACACAACAAATCTTTAGGATCCTAAGAGGTTCGCTCATGAAGGTACTCCAGTCGAGACAAGACGTAAGCCAGCCGGGCAGAGCGGCTGGCCACATAACACACTGAGCTCCTTGCGTGACGACACAAGTGAGTGCCTGGGACCAATCAGGCTAATGGTCTTGGCCATGGCTGCAGGTACACGCGGTGACGTCAGTTCATGCTACCACCCGATAAGACCAGCAGACGTGGGAACCCCCGATGTGACAACAATCGTTACCATGGTTGCACTAAATGTGTCGAGAGGTTCGAATGGGGGGGAATCCCCTGCAGAACACACATCCGCGCCGCGCTCCCTCTCTGCCAACACTGGGTCTCGGAGCAGGCACCGCCACGTTTAAACGAACCGCACGGCCACGCTGCGACGTGACGTCACTAGCCGCCCGGAGGGGAGAAGCCGACAGGCCGCAGAAAAGATGGGACAGGAGATTACAATAAGGAAAGAAGGAACAGGAGATTAGGGAAAGGAAAGATGGGACAGGAGATTACGGTAAGAAAGTTGGAACAGGCGATTACGATAAGGAAAGATGGGACAGGAGATTAGGGAAAGGAAAGATGGGACAGGCGATTACGTTAAGGAAAGATGGGACAGGAGATTACGTTAAGGAAAATGGGACGGGCGATTACGATAAGGAAAGGAAAGATGGGACAGGCGATTACGATAAGGAAAGATGGGACAGGAGATTACGATAAGGAAAGATGGGACAGGCGATTACGATAAGGAAAGCTGGGACAGGAGATTACGATAAGGAAAAATGGGACAGCAGATTACGTTAAGGAAAGATGGGACAGGCGATTACGATAATGAAAGATGGGACAGGAGATTACGATAAGGAAAGATGGGAGAGGAGATTAGGGAAAGGGAATTAAACAGCGTAATGCATGGCGGAAATATGAAACAATACCAGGGAAATGCGGACAGAAAGCACATACAATGGAAACTGGTGACAAGACCACGCAAAATCAGCCACGGCTCCTCTGCTTACAGAATCGCGGAACGTGCAGTGACAGGATTCTAATTCTGAAACTCATTTCTCTTCCGCAAAATCGTTTAACATCAATTTTAAATTGAATAAAGTGGAGCCGTTGCCAGAGGCAGACCCCCCCCCCCCCCTACAGAGCGCAGATCGCTTCCATAATTCTTCTCACGACAGATGCTTGACGAGAGTCCTTCTTCAGAAGCTTACAGTTTCTCAGCTGCTCAAAAATTCCCTCACTTTCACTCAGAGGGAATGTTCATTATTGCGATAAAAACAACGGACCACTGGCCACCATCACGACACATCCAGACCCACACATTCGGCCTCAGTATGATTCTCTCCATCCAAATCTAGATCTAGCAATTGGTTTCTTACGTGCAGGCCTTTTCTATTAATAATTCTGTAAGTATACGCATCTCACGTCCGGCCACAGAGGTCACGCGGTCTAAGGCATGAACTGTCTTCGTTCGCTCGAACGCTGACATCGTGGGTTCAAAGCCAACCGAAAGGCTTGGATGTCTGTATGTGCGTTTATTCAGTGTTGTGTTGTCCTGTATTTAGATAGCGGCCTTGCGACGGGGCCGATCCCCCTCCAAGGAGTCCTACCGTCGGTGTAAAATGATTACGAACTGAATAAGAGGCTTGGGCCTTGAATGGGCTGGAAGAGCCATTGTAAAAAAATAAATGCATCTCATCAATTCCATCCGCGCTACATGAACCACCCATCTAATCCCCTTGATTTTTTCGCCCTAATAACAACTGCTGAAAAGAACAAATTATGAACCTCCCCATTATGCGCCATGCAAGCAGATCATGCTGCCTGCTTCACGCTAGTCTCTTGCTTGGCTTATTTTTCCACCTTAAAGATGGAGGCACCATTCACCTCCGAAACATCGGCTGTCTTTCGCCGGACCACACAGCGACAGAACACTTCGTAACGACCGGTGTGAGAGCATCCACTGCGCAACACAGCGCCTCTATGTTCCACGGGGCCCACAAATAAGGGGCACTCTGTATAATTGATAAGATGATAATGGGATCCGGCTTATCGCAACCGGAAATGGTTCATATACTGACCATTACGAAGCAGAAATAAAACCACTTCGTGGCACAATATTGTCTGAATTATTAATGCGTTTCAAACGGTGTCACATAACGCACTGAACGTTGCCTTGCTTTGGCTTCTAATGGCGTACATTAACACTCGCTTGTGCTGTTCATAGCGTGATCAAACTCAAAGAGTATGAGATGGGCTGGGCGTCTAGAAGGCGTGGTTACATAAAGGAAACCCGAAACAAAGAGTCAACTTCGGAGACTCAGGTCCCTCTAGACTCATATTAGGGAGGTGTTTGGTTCGAAACCCGGCGGGAATACAGATCGTCTTCGTTTCTTGTGCCTCTCTTCAGCCCCTCCAGGTGCATTCAGGCCAACGACAACACGCTTCGCAATTCTTCCCGACTCATCCTGCATTTCGCAGTTATGTAGTCCAGCTACTGACAAGGTCGTAAAACTAACCACCAATATGAGACCCAAGGGTAGATAGGATGATAATATTAAAACGAGTGTTAAATAGGATGTCGAGGATCGCGCTGGATTCATCTGCTTCAGGAACAGGCCATGTGATAGGCTGTGTTCCTTAAGCGACTGGGAAGCTCCGTAAAGAACGCCTCTGCTGTCTCAGTAACAGGGTACTTAGAGGCCGTGCTGTTAGGCCTGGCCACTGTGTTGAGCGTGGGGGGGGGCAAAAGTAGCGGGACAATGGTTGCATCGATGCTGTGCATATTCGCCCTACAATCGGTATCTAGGCGGACAGGAAGATATCTACTGCGTATTCTCTTGGGGACGGCGACGCCTGAACACGCGGACAGACGCCCAGCTCCCTCAGGAATGCCAACCTACTTCTATCATCTGCCACGAGAATTCCGTACCGGTGGGACGGAGGAGTGGAAAATCCCGGTTCGTTTGTCACACACTCTGACGTCATATGTTCGGATCGCATTCCTGGCATTGACTTTTTTTGTGTTCTCCTCTGCAGTGCTCCTTCTGAAGACTTGTGTAGGCAAACCGCACAACTTCATCGCGTTGTCGTGCGGACTGCGCCTGCGCTCACTTCAAGCTGCCCTTTAATCACACTGTACCCTGTCGTGTGGAATGTTATGTTTTTGAAACACGAGAGGAGGGCCTATTTAGGGGGGAGTGAAATATTTTTTCGCCGGTTTTGAAGGTTCCCAGGCAGTGCCCACTCGTCCTTCTAGTATAGGTACGTTTGAGGAGGGGTAAATCTCTAGGAAGTGAACTTTGTTATGAGCAGAGGAGAGATGTTGAGCGGGGCTTTACTGCGCATGATCAGAGCTAATAATGTAGGGGCTGTATGTGAAATATGCCGTGGATTGTGGAACTTTGAAACCCAAAGTTCGTCTAAATGATATATAAAAACCGAGTTTACAAATCACATCAAAAACATATCCCCATAGCAACGATTAACCGGTCAACGGTGTTTAGGGTTCCACGATGTCTGACTCGTCTCAACCAAAGTAACACTGAAACCAGTAAATCTCTTGCGGTTGCGCTGGGCTGCTGACTTTTAATTCTTTCAAATGAACATGTAATTATAGCTGTAAACATGTAATACCACTATGCAGTATGTGCAGATTACACAAACAACTGGGATGAGTCACGTACACACGATCGAAAACGGTCAACTGGCAGCTTTCTGCATGTTGTAACGTGTAGGACCGCAACTCGCAGGTCACAGTAGCCGGCCGCGCGGGCTAAGGCATGAACCGTTCTCGCTCGCTCGCTCGAACCCTCGGATCATGGGTTCGAATCCCACTCGAGGCATGGATGTCTGCGTGTGTGTTTATTCTGTGTTTGTGTTGTCCTGTGTTTATTTAGCGGCCTTGCGACGGGCTCATCCCCCGTCCAGGGTGTCTACCAACAGTGTATAGATTAAGTAACTGAAAATCTGCCAAGGTCCACAAGGGCTGTAGAGCCATAGATAGATAGATAGATACGTAGATAGACAGACAGATAGATAGACAAATATACAGACAGATAGACAGACAGACAGGTAGACAGATGGACAGAGAGAGGTAGAGAGGTAGACAGAGCAGCAACTCATATCTGGAAGCGTGGAGCTGTCCTCCCTCGCCTAACTTCTTGCCCCTGCCCTTATAGTCATGTGCTTTGAGAATGTCACTTCTTCGGCGATAGAGCGAGGGGAGATGCAGTGATCGGTTTCTGAAGGCGGCTGGGTCCCGGCGCTCATGCAGCGCATTCCACACTTCCCCCCGCCGCCAGTCTCTTGCGGTGATACAAGTACAAGAACGCAGGCCTTCGAGTGGAAAGTCTGTTCGGGTGTAACGCCTCCTCCGTTAAAATTAGGGAACCAGTCGCTGTTTATTGTGAGAATCATACGGAACACACAGATACACTGTGTGGGCAGAATATATAGCAATTCAGTCCGTACCTCACAGGAAACACACCCCGTCTCCGCTACAAAGCCCAACCGGTTAATGCTGTTTAAGGAAACAGTCGCTCTTTATTGTGAGAACGATAGAAAACTCAAAGATACATCATTTGACCAAATCGTAGAGTTTCTGAATGTTAAAGCATGTGGTACATATAGTTACCATTGAGTTTTAAAAGGTTTCGGCTACGGTCCGCTCAGGTCTGCACAATATACCATATCGGTAGCATAGACTTCAAAGTTGTGGATGTAATTAATTGCCAGGTTTCAATGTAGCCTGCGGCTGTGAGCGTGACAGTCATTGCGCCTGCGTGTTCCCACTTACGCTTTGATCTACACAAATCAACACCACCGGCTCTATATCATCATTACGTGTTATGTTATTGCCCCCACACCAAGTTACGCGTGCGCAGTGCTAGCAGTGCAGCATCACAGCCTTTTCACATGCTCCTCGGTACTATTACTCTATATTGTGAAGGCAGGTAGTTGCCGACGTTTCGGAGGTATCTGTATTCAGGGTAAAAGGAAAAGGACACAGAACACTTCTAAGAGTCAATTTTCTTTACACTCTTTCCCCTTACTCCTGTTGACTAGTAAAGGACCTCGGTTTCAGGCCTCCCTTCTCCCTTAACAATTCTAGTCTTCACGCTTCTGAAGATGGTAGCAGTAAGTTACTCCGAAACACTACCTGAAAGCTCACAGAAAACTGTAAACTTCGCTCGTTGGACCACGGAACAGGGATTAAAGGTAAGTGACGGAGAATGTGTGCAGGTATGTTGTTGGTACTTGAAATAGGGTAAATCTGTAAATCAACACCATGAAGGAGTATGGGGGAGTGAATGTAT